AGTCGACCTTGTACAATGAGTCGACCTTGTACAATGAGTCGACCTTGTACAATGAGTCGACCTTGTACAATGAGTCGACCTTGTACAATGAGTCGACCTTGTACAATGAGTCGACCTTGTACAATGAGTCGACCTTGTACAATGAGTCGACCTTGTACAATGAGTCGACCTTGTACAATGAGTCGACCTTGTACAATGAGTCGACCTTGTACAATGAGTCGACCTTGTACAATGAGTCGACCTTGTACAATGAGTCGACCTTGTACAATGAGTCGACCTTGTACAATGAGTCGACCTTGTACAATGAGTCGACCTTGTACAATGAGTCGACCTTGTACAATGAGTCGACCTTGTACAATGAGTCGACCTTGTACAATGAGTCGACCTTGTACAATGAGTCGACCTTGTACAATGAGTCGACCTTGTACAATGAGTCGACCTTGTACAATGAGTCGACCTTGTACAATGAGTCGACCTTGTACAATGAGTCGACCTTGTACAATGAGTCGACCTTGTACAATGAGTCGACCTTGTACAATGAGTCGACCTTGTACAATGAGTCGACCTTGTACAATGAGTCGACCTTGTACAATGAGTCGACCTTGTACAATGAGTCGACCTTGTACAATGAGTCGACCTTGTACAATGAGTCGACCTTGTACAATGAGTCGACCTTGTACAATGAGTCGACCTTGTACAATGAGTCGACCTTGTACAATGAGTCGACCTTGTACAATGAGTCGACCTTGTACAATGAGTCGACCTTGTACAATGAGTCGACCTTGTACAATGAGTCGACCTTGTACAATGAGTCGACCTTGTACAATGAGTCGACCTTGTACAATGAGTCGACCTTGTACAATGAGTCGACCTTGTACAATGAGTCGACCTTGTACAATGAGTCGACCTTGTACAATGAGTCGACCTTGTACAATGAGTCGACCTTGTACAATGAGTCGACCTTGTACAATGAGTCGACCTTGTACAATGAGTCGACCTTGTACAATGAGTCGACCTTGTACAATGAGTCGACCTTGTACAATGAGTCGACCTTGTACAATGAGTCGACCTTGTACAATGAGTCGACCTTGTACAATGAGTCGACCTTGTACAATGAGTCGACCTTGTACAATGAGTCGACCTTGTACAATGAGTCGACCTTGTACAATGAGTCGACCTTGTACAATGAGTCGACCTTGTACAATGAGTCGACCTTGTACAATGAGTCGACCTTGTACAATGAGTCGACCTTGTACAATGAGTCGACCTTGTACAATGAGTCGACCTTGTACAATGAGTCGACCTTGTACAATGAGTCGACCTTGTACAATGAGTCGACCTTGTACAATGAGTCGACCTTGTACAATGAGTCGACCTTGTACAATGAGTCGACCTTGTACAATGAGTCGACCTTGTACAATGAGTCGACCTTGTACAATGAGTCGACCTTGTACAATGAGTCGACCTTGTACAATGAGTCGACCTTGTACAATGAGTCGACCTTGTACAATGAGTCGACCTTGTACAATGAGTCGACCTTGTACAATGAGTCGACCTTGTACAATGAGTCGACCTTGTACAATGAGTCGACCTTGTGTAATGAGTGCTTATCCGTGTGTAATGAGTCGACTCAAAAATCGACTCATTACACTCTAGGACAACGTCTTCTGTGGACAAGGTGGGGCTGGGGTGATGCTGTGGGGGACAGGAAAGGGGAGTTCGTGTTGAGAGGAACTCCAGCATTCAAATGTCGAGGTTCCTGAAATTTGAATGACTGTGACACCAAGGCGCAAAAAAAGCGGCGTTCTTTTCAAATTTTTGTCGTTTTAAACGACATAGTAAGATTCCGTCGTTTAAAACGATAAAAAGCGGTCAATGTGCCCTTTTGTTATGGTGCAAAGAATCGATCGTTTTATATGATCGCTTTTTTTGTACCCAACAATTGAAAACGTATATTGCGTATGTTGGTTTGGCTGACTCGATTTTGGTGTCGCTCCAAAGTCAGATTCGAGCTGACACCAATTTTCCAACGAAACGCGACTCGGCGCCAATGTCGATCCGCGAATTGGATCCAATTCGCGAAGCCGTTGCGAACTGTACCCCACTGTCGCTAGTGGCCCGGTGTACAGTTTCGCGCCTGAAAATGAGTTCGCGATGTACGCGACACATCGCGAACCTGACGTGTCGCAAATTTCCCAAACCCCCCCAGAGGTGTGCACCATTTCCAACGACTTCATCAAATGGCCTTCACGATTATTGTCGAGTTGAGCACATACAAATGTGGAGCACGATAGAACAGGTGAGTGCATCTCAAATTCCAGAGATTAAGAATCTTAGCTAGCTCAGTCAGTGCTAGCAACAGCGCCCAAGACCACAGTTCCGCCATGCCGCGGACTCCTTCTCGCTTGTGGGAACACGTCACCCGCACGTTTGATGACGACGGTAAACTCGTTAGGATCTAGTGTAACTACTGCACGCAAACCATGACGTCAAGAGCCACACGAATTCAGGAGCACCTTTTAGGGTACCCCGGCCACGAAGTCAAAGAATATCGCCACGTGCACCTCCGAGTTCGAGCGGACGCTGCGCGAGAAGGGAAACACCGCCAGATCTTCGCGTGGCTCGGCATCCACGTCGACGAGCGAGGCGACGACGTCCAAGGCGCAAGTCCAGCTCGATATCCGTGCGATGTCGGATCAAGCTGGCAAGGAGTGTCTTGACCACTTGTGGGCCGTCGCGGTGGCCGAGAATGACTGGGCCTTCCGCTGTTCCCAGTGAGTAGTCGTCTCTCTATCGCCATTGATGCTCCCGCAGGATGTCTTTCGCACCCGTTCCTCGCGTGGCACGCACATCACTCCCCTCGCTCTAAGTCCCCGCCTTTTCCCACCCACCAGGTCCAAAGCGACGCAGGCGTTCGTGAACGCAGCAGTGGTGTACGGGAAGCCGTACGAGCTACCCTCGGCATACAAGGTGTCGGGGCCCCTGCTCCAGAAGTTGAAGGCCGACACCTTCGAGCTGGTGTCGCCCCTCAAGGAGACTTGGAAGTTCGTCGGCTGCACCTTATCAGTCGACGGCTGGTCTTGCTTGAAGAGCCGCGCCATCGTATGCGTCATTGCGCAAAACGAGAGCGGCCCGGTGCTCGTCGATGTAGTGGACTCTAAGATCGCCAAGAAGACAGGGTCTTACTTGGCGGCCTTGATCCGCAAGGCCGCGAAGTCAGGGACAAAGCCGTTGTCCAGTGCGTGATGGACAATGCCAGCAACAATAAGAAAGCGTCCAACCTTTTGAAGGAGGGCTTTCCGGCCATTTTTTTCCACCAACTGCGCCGCTCATTGCCTAGACCTGATGCTGAGTGACATTGGGGCATCCCCGTTAGTGCAGAAGGTGCTAGCGGAGGCGCAGCGAGTAGTGATGATGGCTAAAAAACAGTGCGAGCGCCATCATTCTCTTTAGGGAGATTTTCAGCCAGCTCGAACTTGTCAAACCTGGAGCCACTCGTTTTGGAACCCAGGTGATAATGATCACCCGGTTTCCTTGCTGTGAAGGAGTCTTTGCTGCGGCTGGTCATTAGCGAGGAGTGGAAGGGGGTAGCCGTCAGTGGGACAAAGGAGGGTCAGGAGATTCGGGCGATGCTGCTGGAGGAGAAGTTCTGGGAGTCCGTGAACGTTGTACTCCGACTCATGCAGCCGGTGTACGGCGTCCTTCGGGCAGTGGACACGCGAGCACTGCTGATGGCCAAGATCTATGGCCTCATGGTTGAGGCCACGGTCAAGACCAACGAGGCGGCTAGTGCTGCGGGTAAGTCATCCGCTTTTGTTCCCCTCCCAGCTTTCTTCTCTGCCCGTTGCATGCTGGGCTGGATCCCCTTCCCGAACCCCCGCTCTTCTCCACCAATCCCATTTCCACAGCTACTTTCTCATTAAGAGAGACCGAGCTGATGGAAGCGAAGGACAGAGCCATCTTCTTGGCTAGCGTGAAGAAGATTATCGCAAAGAGGTGGGGACGCTCAGCTGCACAACCCCCTCCATGCTATGGGTGGCTGCTGAGCCCCCTCAACCAATTTGCGGACGAGGTGTGGGGCGACACCGAGCTCCGCAAAGGGGTTGACGCCGTGCTCAAGGCACGTGAGTCTGACCCCGGACGGCGCACCATGCTGCAGCGCAGCTGCAGTCATTCCACAAGGGGGAGGGGAAGTTGGGGGGAAGGACGCGAGGTGGCGGCTTCCGCTCTGGTCCAGTGCGGAAGGATGTCGGAGGCCAAATGGTGGCTCATCCACGGAGAGGAGGTGTGCCAGCTGCAGGAGCTTGCGGTCAGGATCCTCTCCCAGCCCATCACCTCGTCTGAGGTCGAGCGTTGGTGGTCAGCCATGGCTCGAGTCCAGCGGCGTGACCGAACAACCTCAGCCCCGAGACCATGATTGACATCACATGGGTCGCCTTCAGCAGGCGCGCCCGGGCTGCGTTCGACCTCAAGCTAGAGCTACGCTCGAAGCTCTATGCCGACCTTGATTCTGGAAGGCTGAAGGAAGGCTGCAGCGTGCCCGAGGCGCCCCCTCAGCAAACCGAGCCGGCAGAGGAGGAGGAGGGGGGATGCCGTGGGCTGTGCCATCGATTGGAGGAAGTTTGGGGCAGCCGGGGGGTGGAAGAAGAAGCGGTCAGCCAAGCGCAAGGCCGGTAAGCGGCAAAGAAGTTGGCGGGTCCAAGAAGGGCAAAGAGTAGCGTGCAGCAGACTCGGATGAGGACGAAGAAGCAGGGAGCTCTAGTGAGAGCGGGGGGGATGAATCCCACGAGAGGCGCAAGGGGGAGCACCATGGGAGCAGACGGGAGTGAGAGCGGGGAGGAGGATGACGAGGAGGAGGAGGAGGATGAGTAGAAGTAGTAAGGGGGGGTTAGGGGCCGGAGGAAGGCAGGGAGCTTTGCTCACGGGGAAAGTGGAGGAGGATTAGGAATAGTAGGGGGGGACGGTAGGGCAGCGCGATAGGGGTAGGGAGCTCTACTCACCTCTTTCATGGCGAATCTGTTGTCGTAGTCAGTGCAGTATGCCTCAGGGATAGTGCCATGAGGTTTTTAGATTGATTAATAAAAACTTGTGACTGGAGTTTTCGAACAAAAAAACGGAGTTTTTTTTTCAAAAAAAAAGCCGTATAAACGATCGTATTAAACGGCCCGTTTAAAACGACCATCGCTTTTTGCGCCTTGTGTGACACTTCTTCGAATCACGTAACCGTGGGTCGTTCCAACCAAGAGGAAATAATCGCTAACCTGAGCGCTGTCGCAACCAAAGGCTGCTATACAATGTCAAGTATGTTTCAAGAGTTGTGGAAACAACGCGCGAATCGTTTTCAAATGGTGACGGAGAGTGAGATGGAGAGTGCGGAGGAAAGGACGGTGGAGCGGGAGGTAGAGGGAAAGAGAGGTAGAGGTATTGGTCTCTTCTTCCTCCACAACCTCTGGCTCCCTCTCCACCGTCCTTTCCACCTCTCGGCCGTCTTTTTTACCTCTCCATCTCACACTCCACCTTACTCTCCATCATCATCTTGAAACACTCTGCGAGTTCTCTCCATAACTCTTGAAACAACTTTGACATTGGCTAACATCCTTTCTTTGCGATGACCCTCTGGTTAGCAATGCGTTCCTTTCGGTTGCGACGGCCACACTTACAGAGTACTTGAAATGGCGTCACGCTCATTTGTTCGGCATTGAAAAAAGTGAGGCCGGAGATGGAAAGGGGGGAACAGAAAAGGGGGTTATGGGTAGTGGTTAAAGCAGTGTCATGCTCAAACTTGTGCTTGTCCAGGTTAGTGTTAGTGCTGGAGACGGTGGGGCTCGGAAGGGAGGGAATCTAGAAAGAGGGAGGGGGGGGGAGGGGGGGAAAAGACTAGTGCTTAAACTTGCGCCCAGGTTTGGCTGTATCATCTGTTGAAAAGGCGGGTCTCTAAAAAAAAAACAGATAGGGGGTTTACACGGGTGGGTGCACATGGTGCACACAGGGAAGGGGGCTTAGGTTTGGGGAATGGTCTCCGAAGGAGCCTAAACAATGAAGCTTG